ATATATATGCCTGATGGCCTGAGGACAAAAGAACAGCCAGAAAATCATAACTCAAGTGACTGTGAGTATACGAAAGTAGACCCATCTTTGTTCTTAAAACTTTTTAAGATCTTTTTCTAAGAAGAGGTTTCCATTTCTACTGCCTTAAACAAAGCACCAGAATTTTTATTATGGGTAAATGTAAGAAACATTGTTTGCAAGGTGGAACAGTGTAAGCAGAGAGAGAAAAAGCACTACTTTTGCTTGAGGTGACTTCTCATGTGGAGCACAGGAAGCTTGGTGTGGGGGGAAATATTATTTGGAGAGAGTCTCTCTCCAAAAGGACATCAGAGAGATCTCATTCAGGAGTTGCCTTTCTTTGTCTGTTAGCTGCAGGGTCAATTTTGATGAAAAAAATCTGACTGATGTTGTCTTAGTTACTTTTCTCTGTTCCATTGCTGAGACAAAATTTCCCATGCCCCAAATTAAGGGAGGAAAGGTTTATTTAGTTCACAGTTTGTGGAGGTTTCAGTTGATAATCAGCTGGCTCCTAGGCAGGGTGACATAGCACAGGGGCAGTAGCTCAGGCTGGTGGAAGACAGCAAAAGCAGCAAGAGCACAAGGGTGGGTGGGTGGGGACAAGCCTCCTCTCCTCCCTTATATTGTAGGCCCGCTACCTGTCCTAGGGCAGGTGTAGCACTCATACCATATCCCTGCCCTCCTCTTACACAGGTTAGAATGTTTACAAAGTGAGCACCCTGACCCCCTAGTGAGTCAGGTGAGCTTCTAAACTTTTCAAATCGGCACAATGTATCAACCATTACAAATGTCACTTGCTTTTGTCTCTGTTTTATAACCTTCTGGAAATGAGGGATCATGTCATCATTCATCGGATTCAACACCATTTTTTGTGGTTATGTTGGTGTCATGCTTCTCAATGGAATTCTTGTACTCATTCTATTTTTCTATAATGGATTTATTACATCCCTGTTAACCTCCTCCCTATCTTCCACTTTCTCTTCCTTAGTGAAACACTCCTCAACAAGTGCCTTCTGATGTTCACTCTGGAGTTCAGCAAGTTCTTTTATCATTTTTAAAAAATGTATTTAGTACAGGGTCTACAGGATCTCACTACATAGATCGGACTTGTAGTGATTCTTCTGTTTTCAGCCTCCCAAGCACTGGGATTACAGACGCGTGTCACCATGCCCAGTCTCAATTGCTGTCTCAGCATGCCACACGGCCTGGGATTGAACCCCGGTGGCTGTGTTCTGCCTAAATAGGTGCTTTAGTCTGATGAGCTATCAGGCTGGACCAAGTTCTTTTATCTTCAGCTCCTCCTTATGGTCCTCAACAAGCTACTCTGCACTATTGATGTTCAGACCCCTACTCTTGGCTATAAACACAATCTCCTCTACTATGCATGCAACAGACCCTACAAAGTCATTTTTATTGACACATTCTGGCCACAATTTCCTCTAGGCTGACAACTTCCCAGGCTTTGTCAGTGAGGTTGATGCAGTAGAGGACAATGAAATATTTCTTCCAGAACTCTTTCAGAGTCAAGGGTGTCTCTTCAGTAACATTAAAATAGCTGGTGGAAGGGCCGGCCAAGTAGCTCAGGGGATTAAAGCGCCTGCAAGCAGGTACAGGGGTCCGGAGTTCCTTCCCCAGGCCTGCCATGCTGGCCCTGCCCCCGGGGTGCTCTGAGAGGTGACTGAGACTGGGCCTGGTGGCTCAGGCCTATAATCCCAGCACTTGGGAAGCTGTAAACAGGAGAATCACTATGAGTCTGATCTAGTAGTGAGACCCTGTAGACCCTTCCCTAAAATTCAGAAAAGAAAAAAGGTGGTGAAGAGCACCTTTGTGTACAGCTTCTTCAAGTTGCAGATCACTTGCTGGTCCATGGGCTGAAGATGAGGTGTTGGGTTTAGGAGGCGAGGGACTTCACATTTATGAAGTCACACTCCGCATCCATATCACCCATCAAGCTTGGAGGGTGTGCCCGGGCATTGCCATCAGAAGAAGGCACTTTTTAGGCAGTTGGCTGTCAGAAATACATTTAAATTTTTTTTTTGTACCAGGGTTTGAACTCCATACTTTGTGCTTGCCAGGCAGGCACTTAAGCCTCTTAACTATCTCCCCAGCCCTAAAAAAAATTTTTTTTTTGAGACAAGGTCTTTCTATGTAGTTCAAACTGGTCTTGAGCTCACTTTGAAGCCTAGGTTGGCCTCAAATTCACGGGGATCCTCCTGTCTCAGCTTCCTGAGTTCTGAGTTTACAGGTGTGCACCACCATACCCAGCAGAAATATATTTCTTGATGGTGGGTGCAAAAACCTTGTGCAGGGCTGGAGAGATGGCTCAGTGGTCTAAAGCACCTACTTAGAACAAGCTTAGCAAAAGCATCAGGGACCGCAGTTCAATCCCCCAGCACCACATGCCAGCCAGCCCGCCCCCTGATGGGCTGAGCTGGTCTCTCTCTGTCTCTCTGTCTCTCT